ACATGCCACTGCAGGAGGACAGAAATAGCTTTGCACTAAAAATAAAATAAAATAAAAAAAAAATCACCGTAGTTAGTGACTGCCTAAGACACCACCACTGGTGTTACTGATTATAATCAGGTGAGAAGGGGAAGAAAAAAAAAAGTTGTTTTCAAAATGTTAATTATCTGGAGCAAGCCTGACTGCAATTCCAGAATGGGCAGGGGGAAGGATGCACTTTACTGCCTTGAGTTGTGCTTCTGTGCGTCCCAAAACACAGCCCCGTGAATCACCATCATCTTCCTACAGCACAAGCTGGAAATGAGCACCACTGACCACAATCCCACCACTCTCAGCCCACTATTATACCTGGTTTCCTACCTAGATTTATTTACAGCTTAATTTCTTCATCATCAATTTTTTTTTTATTTTTTTTTCCATTCAAGCACAATTTGCAAGCTGGAAATAATGACCAAAATTCTGTCCGTGCAGTAACAGCTCATTTCCCAAACACAAGCACTAGAAAACTCATTACGAAGTACTTCATAAACTTCTGTCACTGCAGTAGGAAGTGACTGTAAATTATTACAGCTTTTCCAATTTAATGAGTACATTTAAATCTTGAAGTGATGGTGTTACTGCCTGCACTCGGCACGGAGATTTAAAAAAAAAAAAAAAAATAAAGAGGAGGAAAAAAGAAGAGTATTTCACATTTATATTCACACCATGCAGAGTAACTGGTAAGCAATGATGTTTTTCAGATGAGCATACATTACTTAGCCTGCCACATGAAGGCATTCTGTAATTTGTAAAATATTTTAAACTCTACTGGAATTCAAGTTTTCTGTTTTATTTAAACATCTTGAAAGAACTAATATACAATGCTAAAATTTTTGTTCTCAGTCTTCAGTGCATCACAGCGTACCGTTTTTAATTCTCTCTATCCTCTGTATAATTTGAAATTCTAGCGTTTTCCGCAACCCCTCACTATTTATCTGTCACACAGCAGCATTCAACAAGAATTAACTATTTTATGACCGCTTTTGCTAAAGAGTATTAAAAAAATCTGTATGAGTGTATTTCCACAGCCTTTTGTTGGGTGATGAAAATGCAACAATTAACACCGCTCAAAGCAGTTTCAACCATTTTACGCTACTTACAATAGGATTTTTTCCAGCTTTTATTCATAGAGGAACTTTCACAAAAATGAAGTGGTTCTTAAAAAAAAAAACAACAACCAGTTGCTGAGATATTCTTGCCTGATGATCTGAGGAGGCTGGATATTAATACAGCACATGAGAAAAGAGGTTTCTTAAGAAATGTAAAAATAAGCATGAAACTTCATCATGGAAGCAATAAAGAAAAGCAAGTGCCACATGACTTACCGGCCTAAAAATAAGGACTTCAAGTAGGTAACTCCCCCAAACTTCTGTATTAAAAAGCAGCATTTCAACATTTGGGTAGACGTTTAACTCAAGAGCATGCTCATACAATACAGTTTACCAAAATGAGTGTTCAAAGACAATTTTCCCCCATGTTTTATGGAGACAAAAGACTAAATGCGAGAATGTAAGCGATACATTGTCTGCAATGAACAGTTCAGGTATTGCTTATTATTTATCATTTTAAAAAAAGAAGGCACTCTAATATATTATAAAGCTGTAAAAACAGAATCTTTGGATTTGTGCATCTTGCCACTACACCGTTTTCACCAGATTTTTCAATTTCATTTCATTGTAAACACATGGCAATCGTTTGCTATCTTTAGTGGAACAATCTATTCTAATTTTTTAAAGACACACACGAGCTGACAAGAAGTAACTGCTCTGTGAAGGCATTTTCTTTCAGATCAGGACACAGTATTGAGATAGCCAGCTATCAGGACAGTTCAGGTAAACCACCTGCATTAACCCTTTTCTGAGAATTTCACAAAGAGCAGAACGTATCTTCCACCATCACATTTACAGTTTCAAGGGATCAGTCACCCTTTTGACCATCAGCATTTAGAAGCAGCCCTGAAAAAATGAGTTGTTGCAATTATCTAGGAACCTTAAAAATCCTTACTATTTTAAGACCTCAAATTATTTTGGGATCTATATAAAGGTCTAGTCTTTCACCAAGTCTTGATGCTCCCTGGTCTGATGAGTTCCTTGGGCTGATTCTGCATTGTTAGAAAATATTCAGTCATTGTCAGAATGGCTCCGTTTTGATTCCATCCAATAAACCCTGGCTTTTGTATTAAAAAAAAGACCAGAACGAGCTGCCTGGTCAATACTCTCCATATCTTTCGTCATTCCAGGTACACTACCATCACCCCTCTTACTGTGTCTTCCCCACTGCCTGGACCAAAGAAAGAATCTCTGTCCAAAAATCAAACACCTGATTGTTTTCAAATTAAAAGTAAAAAAAAATAAACCCAGAAGAGCAAGCTTCAAATGAAGCTCATGCTGTCCTGAACAGGACACAGTTATGAATCTTCTTACATGACTTCTTGAAGTTACCCTCAGCTACACCTCCCAGTCCCTCCCCTCGCTTTGTAGGGAAGCTTTCCCATTCCTCTACTAATTAATTCCTTTACTAATTAACCAAACCTTTGCTTTGGTTTTGTTTCTTTTGACATAGGGTAACCAGAACTAAGCAAAGCACGCACCAGTGATTTATGTGAGATTATTGTTATTTTCCTGCACTGTTCCCTTTTGTATTCCTCAAACATTTCAGTATTCTGTTTGCTTTTCACACGCTGTTGCCTATTAAAATAAAATGGATTTTTTTAAAGCCTAGACTTTAAAAAAAAAATACAGAACTGGTCAGGGATGTGGAAGCTGATGACAGCTTAGGCAGCAGCGACCACGAGACGGTGAAGTCTGAAATCCCGAAAGAAGTGAGCAAAGCAAATACTGAAACAGCAGCCCTGGGCTTCAGGAGAGGCAGATTTTGGCTTGTTCACACACCTGCTTGGCAGTATCTCACAGAGAACATGGGCCCAGGGGATCTGGGTGTCTCTCCAGGGACCTCACACCAGGAGAAGGACGTGTGCCAACACGCTAGAAGTCAAGCAGACGTGGATGGAGGCCAACATGAATGAACCAGGGACTCCTGACTTCATTCAGATGGAAAAGGAGGTTTGCAGAAGCTGAAACTGGGGAAACTTTACCCAGAGAAGGTATATAGTGATATTGCTGTAGTGTACAATGACGGAATTTGGAAACCCAAAGCTCACCTGGGGAAGAAACTAAAGGCAAGAAGAAAGGCTCCTATATGTGTATAGGCTGAAAAGCGAATCACCAAACCGGACGGAGCAGCTGATAAACTGAAGGAAAGGTTTGCTAATCACAAAGACCTCAACATGGTGAAGAAATAGGCTAAGAAGATCTCATGGAGCTCTACAAAAGCATCCCCTGCACCTGGGATGGAACGCAGTTACACCAGTAGAGCCCGGGGACTGACTATCTGAAAGCAGCTTTGCGGAAGAAGACCTATGAGAAGAAGAACATGAGCCAGCAAAGGTGGTCACAGGCATCCAGGGGCTACTTCAGCAAGAGGGCAACCAGCAGGTTGAGGGAACTGACTGTTCCCCTCCTTAAAATATTGATGAGACCATACACAGACTATGGTGTCCATCACAAGAAAGACAACGACACGGTGCAGCAAGTCCAGCAGACGTCCCGCAAAAACAAGTAGGGGCTGTAGCAGATGACCACAAGATGCCAGGAGAAGATGAGAGAACTTGTTTGCTCAGTCTTAAGAAGAGGAGAGGTTTCACTACTGTCTTCCAGTAGTTAATGGGAGGATATAGAGGCTCTGGACAAGAGGCAACAAGCAAAAGCTGCAAAAGGGGAAATTCCAACTGAGTATCAGTAATAGGAAAAAAATCACTGTTGAGGGTGGCCAACGCTGGAACAGGTTGCTCAAAGAGATGGTGGTTTCTCTAATCCTGGAGAGAACCAAATCTCCATGGGACATGGCCCTGAGCAACCTGTTCCAAGTCAGCCTGAGGTGGTCACGGGTGGTCTCCTGAGGTCCTTTCAAAATAATTTATTCTGTAAGTTTATTCTATCACGAAAAAAACCAAAAAGCCCTGAAACACCACAAAGCCATACTCACAACATCTGTATCCCAGATTTCAAACAATTTTTGATCCTTTACTTCAGCAACAGGCACATGGGATATAAAGTTCTTTTACGTGCTTTCTAATTAATTTGTGAGGTTACATTCAAAAAATAAACTGAGAAAACCTCATCAATTCTAATCTAAACAGAATTATACAAAAATGTTGACTATAATTAACAGGAACTAAGTGCAATACAGAAACTGTATTTTTAGCTGACACAGCAGAGAACATCTTCTGAGGACATAATAAAAAGTGTCAGATAAAATATATAAAATATTTTGAAAACAAAATAAAATTGTTATAATTTACTTCATTAACTATAAGCAGTGTGAAAAATGCAATTAAAAGTATTATTCCAATATAATTCAAATTTCTAAACGATACCAAGCTTAGAAGCACTCCCTTTATGCATTTTTCCAGGCGCTCACCTGACAATAGCTAAGCAAAAATAAACTATTTTAGAAATTAAAAGAACTAAGAATACGAGACCGTAAGAGTCAGCGACAGTGCAAAGCTTCTTAGTGAGACAGTGACAAAATACTCAAAGTGGACTGAATTTTCACCCTTAACTTCTGAGATTTTGGTTGGACTCGATGATCTCTGAGGTCCCTTCCAACCACCACAATTCTGTGATTCTGTGATTTCTTTTGGATTTTGTGCCCTTGACTGCTGTCTATACAGTGAGGCGGTGCTGATTTACACCATCACATCGACGGCTGTCAATGTCAGCACCAGAAACTACATCAAGAAACTAGAGACAGAAGAGCTACCAGGCTACCATGCAGATCCATGTTTTATTCATAAAAGCAGATAGCTACACACCAGCTCGTGAAATTCATTCTTTTGGCGTTTTAATATTTTTTATTTCGCTTATTAAAACAAAACAAACCAAAAAAAAGACGCATCTTACCTTCAGGTCACTTCCCGGCAAAGTACCTATGCCATCCTTCCAGTCCATAGCACTAAATACATCAAACTCTTGACCATTTCCACTGGAGGCAGATTCATTCATGATGCATGTACTGAAAATAAAAAAAAAAAAAAGTAAAAAAATAAAAATATTTAATGTGAAAATGCTGTAACTGGTTTAACACTTATATCACTGGACATTTCTTCAAACCCACTTCATCGATTAGTATCAAATTTAGGGCTACAAAGATGATGAGGGGCCTGGAGCATCTCTCTGATGAGGAGAGGCTGAGGGACTTGGGTCTGTTTAGTCTGGAGAAGAGAAGGCTGAGGGGGGATCTGATCAACACCTATAAATACTGAAAGGGTGGGTGTCAGGAGGATGGGGCCAGTCTTTTTTCAGTGGTGCCCAGGGACAGGACAAGAGGGAACGGGCACAAACTTGAACATGGGAAGTTCCATCAAAAGATGAGTTAAAACTTCTTTGCTGTGAGGGTGGCAGAGCCCTGGCAGAGGCTGCCCAGAGAGGTGGTGGAGTCTCCTTCTCTGGAGACATTCCAAACCCACCTGGACACGTTCCTGTGGGACCTGCTCTGGGTGGACCTGCTCTGGCAGGGGGTTGGACTGGATGATCTCCAGAGGTCCCTTCCAACCCCGTATCATTCTGGGATTCTGTGAAATGCTTCCCTCAGCACACTGGAAATGGGGCCAACCGTGACAATAACAATAATATATAGTGATGTAATAAAAACAAGGGGAAATCTTTGGAAAACCTTTAAAAATAAGACCTGTTTGACACAGTAGGAGGCTGTTAAGGAGGCTGTATTGGAGAGAAATGGAAAACCTCAAACCACAAATAAACTGACATGGGGAAAACAGAGTTCAAGTGCACCCAAGAAAAGGAGTTGTTCTGGGGAAGGCAAGACATGAGAGCACGCCTAGAATAAATACAATAACCCCTCATTAACAGAACTGCTTTTCCTTAACATCGGGTAACTGCATCACCCAAGTGCAAATTAAAATTTCAAAACCAATTTGAAACTGTCTTTCGTTTTCACCCTCACCCAAACACTCCTTGTATGTTTCCATACAGTTTCACTACACTTTGATTTGCCTTTGTAAAACTTATTTCCAAGTAGAGACACGCACATACACCAGAGAAAGCCGTTGCTTTGCAAGACTTCATTTGACTGTATCCCTCTGTTTCAGAACAGCGGAAGGAGAGGAGAGAATATTTATCTTCAGAAACGGCGGATTTGGACATCCTCTTCTGCGGTAAGAGTTTATCCCAAATAACTTCCACCAGCAACTGCTGCATAATAAGACTTGCCACTGAGCCCTCCCTGGCTTTGGCCAGCACTTGCCACTGCCACAAAGACGGCACCAGTTGCCCCAAACCACCAAATTCCTCCTTTCTGCTTCTCACAAACCCTGGAATCTTTAAATCTGTGGCCTGGCACCAAATTTACTACTTATTCCGTGTGAAATCTGACTCATTCCTTTTCTTCCCCAAGAACTTCTGCCCTCTTTCTGGCAGCCAAAACAATCTGTGGCAAAATTAGCTCCGTCTCTGGTTTGTGAACTATTAGCAAAAGCCCATCCCTTCTCAAATTTACACTTTCTGAACTTATTAACAAACACTTTCTAAGCCTCATGCTCCACCTGCGGAACCGCAACTTTCGCTGCAAGTATCACTATTTGAAATTCAAATAGGCAGAGAGCTTCCTCAGTTTTCCAAAGTCTCATTTCTAACTCAGGTCCCGCTCCCAAAATCTGCAAGTATCTATTAATGCTCTCTGGAAACCTGGAAATTTCCACAAAAAAACCCCAACAACTGAGTGATATTTGCTCACTCACGGATAACAGAAAAAGATGCAAACGAAGCAGAAGTACCAGGTCGTCCAGAAACTTTTTACTGAAAGTTTGAGGAGAATAATGCTTCACTAGTTAACTCGGTTGTGTGAAAAGTAAAGGAATTTGCAATTTTTTCATCAGAAAAATTCTATCAATTGCTGTAACACACCACTACAGACAGATACGACCCTGGGTTTGGGTCAGCAATGTGGACTCCTTGTATTTCTCTTTGGTTTCCTCCTCATTTCTAAGAGAATTCTTTAAAACACTGAGCAACACTTTACTCGTCGAGTTCTTCTTTAACACTACATCCACTACACACCACCACCAGGATAACAGGAGCTGGACCTCCGCCAGTAACTACTACTGAGGGTGAAAGCTTTGGCATTCCCTTCTTTTCATTGAGAAAACATCATCTATTTCACACGGTAAGTTTCAAGTAAGAACCACATGATTCAGTGTGTTTTCTCCATCCCTCATTTCAGCAATCCTCCATGAGAAAATACTGAGAACCACACTGTCGTTGCACATAAAATTCATTTTAAAATATGTCAATAAATCAAAACAAATTCAGTGCAAACTGAGAAATTCCCCAAAGCCATAGGACTGTATCTTTTTAGATCACTCCTGGGCAAAATCCCCCACCTGCCCTACCTGATGGCAACTCCTGCAATACAACCTGGACCATACTGACCTTCCAGTACCTGAAGGGGCTACAGGAGAGATGGGGAGGGACTCTGGATCAGGGAGGGGAGCCGTAGGATGAGTGATAATGGTTTTAAACTGAAAGAGGGGAGATTGAGATGAGATCTCAGGAAGAACTTCTTTGCTGTGAGGGTGGTGAGAGCCTGGCCCAGGTTGCCCAGAGAAGCTGTGGCTGCCCCATCCCTGGAGGGGTTCAAGGCCAGGCTGGATGGGGCTTGGAGCAACCTGGTCTGGTGGGAGGTGTCCCTGCCCAGGGCAGGGGGTGGCACTGGATGATTTTCAAGGTCCCTGCCAACCCAAACATTCTATGATCTCTGACCCAACAGTGCCACTGGAGTTATAGACACGCTTTGTAGCAGAATCATTTGGGAAAAAAGTGACATGGGGAATAAAAAAAAATCTTAGAGCCCACCCTACTCAGGCAGGATGTAAACTGTGAAAGGAAAAAAATAAATATAAATTGGTAACAGAATTGCTGAAGGCATATTTCTCTCAGGAAAACATACACATTTTAACTTAATTACACCTCACTTAGTTTCCTGAGGTAACAAATCAGCAATAATGATACATTCTATTGTTTGATAAGGTATTCATTATTGTTTTCCTCTTGAAATTAACTCCCCATCAAAAGGCACAATCTGTACTTTTACATTCTGCGGCCTTCAGAAGTGTTCTTAGTGAGGATGAAAAGGTCACGGGGCAACACAGACAGAAATGAATTTACCAAAAGGAATCATATTTAACAAAATATCTCTTTCCAGCTTTGCTGAGTACGAACAGATGAAAGCCTGGGCTATATCCCTCTACTAATGGTAATAAGGAGGGAGATAGAGACCAATTAAATTGTCACAGTAATGAGGTACTAAAAAAGAATGAAATCATCACAATATATACATCTAAACCACAGAACAAAGAAAACTACAGAATGTCTTATCTACTTATTTTTGGTTGTAAAGCTCTGATGTAGTTCTTTGAACTAGTATAACTCCTTCCATAACGGTTTCATTTGCTATCATTCCTGTTGCTCCACTTCCCAAATAGTAGGAAAAATACTAGATGAATTAGGGGCAAGATAACTAAAGCACTGTCCCCGTGTCTGCCACCAAATGCCATCTGATGTGAAGAAAAGGACGTAATAGTAAGAACTTGGAGGTGTCATCTTCCAAAAGCATCCCCCAAATCCACTCTTAGGGCTGTAACTATCCCAGACCTCCCAGCCATAAGCTGTAACATTTACAGAGGAGCGTGCTGCATGTTAATATTTCAACATTAACTTTGTTTTTAGACATATGGCATAAATTCATTAAAATAAGCAAGCATGTAAGACAAGATCAGATGCATCCTTTAGAAAACACCTTCAGTTTTCCCAATTGATTCAACAATAAAGGAGTACCTGGCAGAGGAGAGATTTAATGAGAATAACAGCGCTAAAAACTGGATAGTTTCATCTGGTGAAAGACTTTCTAAAGCTGTAAAGCAAAGAAACAGGAGGAAATACGCCAATTAAACATTTCGAAATAATTACAGGGTTATGTACAAACGCATCAAAAAGTCTAGTACAAGGGCTCCTTCTTTCTGTCGGTGCTTAAAAAAACTACCTGACACCTACCCAAATGCTGAAAAATCTACTATGTCACCTGTGAAGTGTCCATATGATTTCAAGACGGGGACAGGAGAGAGAGGAGATGTCAGCAGCAAAGCCACCAGTCAGGACTGCCACATTGTCACAGCCTGTCTGTGACAGCCTGGGAAACAAAGTTCATTTTCCCTTTTATACAACCCTGGGCATTTTTATTATGACTTTTGAGGGTTTCTGTAGCCACCGTGACAGATCTGCCCCATGCTCCGAGCTGAGACGTGGTCCCTTCTCCCAGCTGGGCTGGGTGACACCAGCACTGACGGATGTTTACAAATCATAGAATGGTTTAGGTTGGAAGAGACCTTAAAGACCATCCAGTTCCACCCCCTGCCCTGGGCAGGGACACCTCCCACCAGACCAGGTTGCTCAAGGCCCCATCCAGCCTGGCCTTGAACCCCTCCAGGGATGGGGCAGCCACAGCTTCTCTGGGCAGCCTGGGCCAGGCTCTCACCATCCTCACAGCAAAGAATTTCTTTTTAGTATCTCATCTAAATTTCCCCTCTTTCAGTTCAAAACCATTACCCCTCGTCCTATGGCTCCCCTCCCTGATCAAGAGTCCCTCCCCATCTCTCCTGGAGCCCCTTTAGGGACCAGAAGGCCCTAAGGCCTAAGGTTATAAGGTCTCCCAGAGCCTTCTCTTCTCCAGGCTGAACCATCCCAACTCTCTCAGCCTGTCCTCACAGCAGAGGGGCTCCAGCCCTGTGATCATTTTCACGGCCTCCTCTGGCCCCACTCCAACAGGTCCATGTCCTCTCTGTGCTGAGGATTCCAAAACTTGACCCAGTGCTCCAGCTGGGGTCTCACCAGAGCGGAGCAGAGGGGCAGAATCACCTCCAACAGATGACAGAGGCAACAAGTGATTTTTTTTGTCCTAGTACCGTAGATGGTTATTTTGGACATCTCCAAGGAGAAGGCTGCCTGGCATAGCACCCACAGGCTGAAGGGACACATATTCAAAGCCCCCGGGGCCAGCCCTGCTCTCCTCCCTCTGATCTGGGTGCACCCCGTGCTCGAATCTCTCTCACCCCGATTCTTTTTGCACCTGATTCTTCACTTGAAGAAAAACAACCACAACAGGGACGGCGCAGGAAATGGCAGAAGGCTTTGAGGCGATCCACCACGTTTTTTAATACCTACTTTGTTTTGCACCTGTTTAATGTTCAATTCTTTTAATATTTCGTTAAAAGAAGCATCTGCAGATGACACATTTCTTCCAAAATCCCGTTTTTTGCTGTCGAGAGACCTCTTTACTAGTTCAGCCCTGTTTCTATTCTGTGCATTGAAGAGCTGCTTCAGGGAATTTCACCGTTCTGCCTGTTGCTCATAAAGTTTATTACAAGGAAGTTATTTTAAAGGTGAGCTAAATTGACTTTTGAGGGTTTCTGTAGCCACCGTGACAGATCTGCCCCATGCTCCGAGCTGAGACGTGGTCCCTTCTCCCAGCTGGGCTGGGTGACACCAGCACTGACGGATGTTTACAAATCATAGAATGGTTTAGGTTGGAAGTGGATGTTTAGAAATCATAGAATGGTTTAGGTTGGAAGAGACCTTAAAGACCATCCAGTTCCACCCCCTGCCCTGGGCAGGGACACCTCCCACCAGACCAGGTTGCTCAAGGCCCCATCCAGCCTGGCCTTGAACCCCTCCAGGGATGGGGCAGCCACAGCTTCTCTGGGCAGCCTGGGCCAGGCTCTCACCATCCTCACAGCAAAGAATTTCTTTTTAGTATCTCATCTAAATTTCCCCTCTTTCAGTTCAAAACCATTACCCCTCGTCCTATGGCTCCCCTCCCTGATCAAGAGTCCCTCCCCATCTCTCCTGGAGCCCCTTTAGGGACCAGAAGGCCCTAAGGCCTAAGGTTATAAGGTCTCCCAGAGCCTTCTCTTCTCCAGGCTGAACCATCCCAACTCTCTCAGCCTGTCCTCACAGCAGAGGGGCTCCAGCCCTGTGATCATTTTCACGGCCTCCTCTGGCCCCACTCCAACAGGTCCATGTCCTCTCTGTGCTGAGGATTCCAAAACTTGACCCAGTGCTCCAGCTGGGGTCTCACCAGAGCGGAGCAGAGGGGCAGAATCACCTCCAACAGATGACAGAGGCAACAAGTGATTTTTTTTGTCCTAGTACCGTAGATGGTTATTTTGGACATCTCCAAGGAGAAGGCTGCCTGGCGTAGCACCCACAGGCTGAAGGGACACATATTCAAAGCCCCCGGGGCCAGCCCTGCTCTCCTCCCTCTGATCTGGGTGCACCCCGTGCTCGAATCTCTCTCACCCTGATTCTTTTTGCACCTGATTCTTCACTTGAAGAAAAACAACCACAACAGGGACGGCGCAGGAAATGGCAGAAGGCTTTGAGGCGATCCACCACGTTTTTTAATACCTACTTTGTTTTGCACCTGTTTAATGTTCAATTCTTTTAATATTTCGTTAAAAGAAGCATCTGCAGATGACACATTTCTTCCAAAATCCCGTTTTTTGCTGTCGAGAGACCTCTTTACTAGTTCAGCCCTGTTTCTATTCTGTGCATTGAAGAGCTGCTTCAGGGAATTTCACCGTTCTGCCTGTTGCTCATAAAGTTTATTACAAGGAAGTTATTTTAAAGGTGAGCTAAATAGCTTATATATAGTCACAAAGGGGCCACAGCTTAAAATTCTTTGCCATTCTTAAAATTTGTAACAGAAAAGGGAGCAGATGCCCTACCGATGATGTCAATTTAGCGTTATTTCCTCTTATTTCTACCTGTTGCTACTCTTCTGCCTGCTGGACTCTCCGAGCACACCGTGTGTGTTTGCTCCTGCTTCTCAACACAACAGCTTTAATCCTTAAAAGCCAAAATAGTCTTTCCTCCACAAGGTCTTCCCGACCCTTTTATTTGTGTCATTGCCTGTGCAGTCCCAAATGGAGGTTTAACCCACTCAGGTACAAGATTTGAGGCCAACAACTCTGAAATCCTATTTCTTGATTTTCCTTCATTCCTCAAACCGGGCCTAGCAAGTTACAGAAAACTTCTGCTTTTCTTCACTTTTGCCTCCTCCCACCCCCTGTGCAGACATCTCCTGGAGAAGAACTCCGACACCCCAAGTCTTCACCCCGAACATCACCTGACCTATTTCAAATCGTTATTTTTTACCCCAATTTATCCCCCATATGCCTGAGCACTCCCTTTGTCTGACTCGTGCCCTCTTCTTCTCAGCAGCTTCCATGAGCTCTGCTGTCCTTCAAAAATTAATTCACTGCTTTCTAGCTCCTTAATGCACTAATCAGGTTATTGCATTTGTAGATTTTCCCTTCTCT